ACCAAGGACAGCTGCCACACTAGGAAATGTTAGCCTGATTTATGCCTACAATGGACTAATGTTTATAGTCTCATGCAGAGAATCAACAAATTAAAGAAAATAATAATTCCTTAAAACCATCTTAAGATGACCTTCATATCTGTAAATTGCATTTATCTGATTAGAGTTCTTATATAGCAAGATGTTTCCAGGCCTTCAGAATGTTTGGTTTAAAAAATAAAATACAGTGATAATTATACCAATTTGGCATTTCATGATTGGGAATAAAAACTACACAGCCAGAAAGGTGTTATTTATGAAGGCAGCTTGTAAATAGTATTTGATACCGTCTCTGTCTCCTTAGGTTTGTCAGGTGCTCAATTACTGTGGCTTTCCTTAGCAAACAGCATAAGAATTTAGAGCAGGGAGGCTGGGTTTCAGTGCCGGTTCTCCTCCTTATTAGCTGTGTGGTTACCCCAAAGAAAATCCAGATACATCCCCCAACCCAAGAAGAAGGGAAAGACTGCTCGGTGAATACAAACACTAAATATCACCCCGAGGGACTGTCCAAAGAGTGCCTTCTGAAAGGTTCAGGATTTGTGTTTTTGAGAAAGGAAATGGGTTTGTTTCATTTGAAACTGCAGTTTCATTCCTAGAGAGTCCTTCTTTCTTTCTTTCCTTCTTCCTTCCTTCCTTCCTTCATTCATTCCTTCCTTCCTACCTTCCTTCCTTCCTCCCTACCTTCCTTTCTTCCTCCCTCCTTCCCTCCCTCCCTTCCTTCCTTTTTCTTCTTTCTCTTTCTTTCTTTTTCCTTCCTCCCTTCCTTCCTTCCTTCCTTCCTTCCTTCTTTCTTTCCCCCCTTTTTTTTCTTGTTGTTGGGTTTTTTTGTTTTTTTGAGACAGGATCTTGCTCTGCACTCCCAGGCTGGAGTACAATGGTGCGATCATAGCTCACTGTAGCCTTGAACTCCTGGCCTCAAGCAATCCTCCTGCCTCAGCATCCTAAGTGCTGGGATTACAGGCATGAGCCACCACGCTTGGCCACCATGGCTGAAGATTTTTGAAGACTGGGTTAAACTCAGCCTGAAAAAATTGTTGCAGGTCTCTAGAGAAGTTTTTGTATTAAAAAAAAAAAAATTGAACCAATATTGGGAAATACATATTTATGTTGTGAGTGCAATGATGGGCTATAGCCAACTCATACCAGCCTGCAAGAGCTGATGATTAAATTTTCAGAATTTTTGCGGGCCGATTGTCAAACACAGCCGTATTAAGAACTGCATTATAGGGCCTGGGCCTGTTGGCTCACCCTTCTAATCCCAGCACTTTGGGAGGCCAAGACGGGTGAATCGCTTGAGCCCAGGAGTTCCAGACCAGCCTAGGTAACATAGGGAGATCCCATCTCTACAAAAAATACAAAACTTAGCCAAGCATGGTGGTCTGTGCCTGCAGTTCCAGCTACTCAGGAGGCTGAGGTAAGAGGATGACTTGAGCCCAGGAGACTGAGGCTACAGTGAGCTGTGATCATGCCACTGTTCTCTAGCCTGGGTAACAGAGCAAAATCCTCTCTCAAAAAAAAAAAAAAAAAAGTTATATATGTTAAAAAAAACTGAAAATACTCAAAACTCATTAGTTACTAATTATTTTACTATGTTTTATTATTATCTGTGCTCTTGGGGTAACTTACATCTATTGTTCCTGTATAGTAAGCTCCTGCACAACTCTTCCCAATTCTATTCAGTGATGTCACATTGGGAGCTTGAAATCAGCCACTGGGGGGAGTATTTACACTACGGAAATTGGCAAGTGCTACAAATCAGGGATCTATTTGGTTTGTCTACACTGAGAGTCAACTCCATTTGTCAAAATATGGTTGAATTGAAACCATAGTTTGCCTATGGTTACAAGAATCCAACAAAAATCAATAAAAGCATTCTGTGAGAATCAATTAGCTATAGTTATAACAAAGGGTATTTATATATTTCCTCCCTCCCTCCCTCGCTCCTCTCCCTCCCTCCCTCCCTCCCTTCCTTCCTTCCTTCCTCCCTTCCTTCCTTCCTTTTTTTTCAAGTTCTCAC